TTCAGAATGGTGAAAGTTTCAGATAAGTTGGTGATGTGTTGGTCAGCATGTTTGCTCTTAACTAGCATATCATCAACGTAAACTTCCATGCTCTTCCCAATCTGTTCGATGAACATTGAATTGACCAGTCTTTGATAAGTCGCTCATGCATTCTTAAGGCCGAAGGGCATGACTTTATAGCAATATAGTCCCCTGTCAGTAGTGAAGGCTGTGTGTTCTTGGTCCGGAAGGTTCATGAAGATTTGGTTGTATCCTGAGTAAGCATCCATGAAGCTCAGGAGTTCACACCCTACTGTAGAGTCTATAAGTCTGTATATGAGAGGAAGAGGAAAGCTATTATTCAGGCATCCTTTGTTTAGGTCGGTGTAATCGACACACATTCTCCACAAGACCTTTTGAAGCAGGAGACTTTCCTTAGTCGGATTCTTCTTAACAAGGACAACATTTGCTACCCACATTGGATAATTAACTTCGCTGACGAAGCCTATGCCTTTGAGTTTTTCAACTTCTGCCATCATTGCCTTGTACCGTTCAGCATCATAAGATTTTCGCTTCTGTCTGACTGGCTTGGTCTTGGGGTCAATACTTAAGCGATGACAGATGATATCGGGAGAAATGCCTGGCATATCCTCGTATGACCAGGCGAAGACCTTAGTGTTTTCTTGCAAAAAAGAGATCAATGCCAACCGAATGGGTGGTAACAAGGTGGTACCAATCTTCACCATGCGATCCGAATAATCTTTTGAGATAGAGACCTTATCCAACTCTTCAACGGGTTGTGCTTGCTGGGTGAAAAAGTCATCTCGAGGATCGTCGGGGTTGACTGTTGCCACCATGAAAATCCAAGTTGGCTTTGTCTAGGCTGGTCTTTATGACTTGGTCATGTATAGAAAGGGTTTCCTTGGGCACAGACAGGTGTTGTTGCTTTACCGAAGTGTTGTAACATGATCGTGCACTAAGTTGATCTCCTCTGATGTAACCATTGCCATAGGGGGTTGGAAATTTCATCAACAACATATGTATGGATACCATGGCCTTGAGATCATTGATGCCTGTGCGTCCCTAGATGACATTGTATGCTGTTGGGCAATCAACCACCAAGAAGTTAGTGGTAATGGTAGCTGTGTAAGGGCATGTACCAATGGTGAAAGGTAAGTGTATGCTCCCCAAAGGTTGCACGATATCACCGAAAAAGCTTATCAGAGGGGAAATCGAGCGATCGAGCAAGTGTTCAGCTACATTAAGTGCCCTGAAAGCTTCGGTAAACATGATATTGACCGAAGCCCCCGTGTCTTCCAGGATTCGTCATACTTCAAAGTTGGCTATGTGAGCTTCCACGATTAGTGAGTCGTTATGAGGGTAGATGATACCTCTTTCTTCCTCAGGGTAAAAACATATTGGATCCTAGTTAGGCTTTTGATGCTTGCTTCCCCTGATGTCTTCCACGTGAAACACTTGGTGGCCAGACCTTAAAACTTGTTCACTATTTTTCATGGCCTTATTGGAAGATTTAGATATGGGTGTGCCACCACTTATGGAATATATCAGATTCACCTAGCGTTGGTTACGGTTACCCCTTGGAGGGTGAAGGAGGAATTGATCAATTTTTCCTTCACGTGCCAAAGCTTCAATATGATCACGAAGGGTGATACACTTCTCGCCGTCATGACCGTTATACTCGTGGTAGCAACAAAACGTGCCCGTGTTCTTCGTGGACTTGTAATCCGGGTGCCTCGGCTTTGGCTTCGGTATTAGGTGTGCTATGGTGGGGTAAATGGCCATGCATGTGGCGTTCAAAGGTGTGTATGTCTCATACCTCGAGGTAAAGGCTGTCCTGACACGTGCTTGACCCATTGTGTTGACTGCCTGGAATCGGGGATTATCGTGGTGATACCCTTGGTTATCGCGGTAGTGTCCCTTACTCCTTTTACTAAAATGAGACCAGTGAGGATGGAAATCTTTCCTTTTGCCCTGAGATTGATATGTCTGTTGACTTGGCAAAGTATTAAGTAAGGTAAGAGGAGGCACCGCTGCCCTTTGAAAGGTTGAGGTATTCTCATTTGGTTGGATCTGGCTTCCACTCCCTACTTGCTGATAAGGGGTGGATGTGGGGGGTCTCCTTTGATATATCCTTGCCTCGGCGGAGGCATGGTTGTAAGCCTGTGCCATCACCTCAGAGTAAGTCTTCCAAGTGTTGGCATTGATTATGTACTTGAAGAAACAATCACGTAGGCTTGCCGTGAAGGCCTTAATGGCGGTCTTGTCATCTGCCTCAACGTAGCGAGAATACTCATAGCTGAAGTGACCGGCATACTTTCGTAGTGACTCGTCCGGCTTCTGGTAAATAATGTACAAGTCATCTGCAGAACGTAAACGATCGGTCTGGAAAATGTGTTGAGAAACAAACAGTTTCCTCAATTCCTCAAATGAGTCTATCGTCTCAGGTGGAAGACAGCAATACCAGTTAGAGCTCCGCCAGAGAGGGTGGAGGGGAAGAGAAGACATCACTCTTCGTCGGTGTGCATCTGGTATGCCATGGTGGACTCAAAGAGGTTAAGGTGTTCAATCGGGTCCTCTTTTCCAGTATAGAGTTGCAATCCAAGCTTCTGCTTTGTCTTTGCCTGAAGGGGGCTGTCGAGGATCCTCCTTGTAAGAGGGCCAGGCCTAGGTTGGTTCCAATCAGGTATCTCAGCTTGTCGTTCGACTTTCAACTTGTTTACTTCCTTAAGAAGCTGTAGGACAAGAGGGTCCTGAGTGGAGTTATGTACCACTGGAGCTTTCTTTCGTAAATCTCCATCTCCTCTTGGAAGTAGGAAGGTTTGATTAAGAGCATGTGATTTTTCACTGGACTCGCCGTACTGACTTTCAAGGTATGTCTGTCGAAACATCTCTAAGTCCCCTATACCTTCGTGTTTCTCTAGAACTTGTTGTCCCTTCCCCAAATTGGTAGCCGACCTGGGACGTGGGAGGGGACCGAGTCTTTCAGAAACCCTTAGGTCATTGATCTTCGAGCTTATGTGGAGGCGATTCTCTCGACGTTGCTTTAGGAAGTCTCGGTAATCACGATAAACGGCTTTCGATCCTTCCAACCTTTCTGCAAGAAGGTGTCTTCATCCACTTCTCCTACTTCGGGTCGAAGCAGCTGGGTTGAGAGAAGTCTCATGTTGATCAATGTTTTGATGATTGGCTTGCTCCTTATCAGGGATACCCATGTCGAAGGAATGTGACCCTCCTTGTTAAGAGGCATCCAGATGATGGTTGATGTCCACAGGGGTAACGAGTTCGCGTGTTTGAGTACGCCTAGTTTCGTGGAGCATCTCAAAGAGCTTCTCATACTGCTCCTAGAGAACCTCATTCTTCATTGCTATCTTGTTGTTTTGAGATTCTAGCTCATCGACTTTAGCTTGAAGAGCAACCCTTTTTCCTTCATTCTTTCATTGTTTCGCACTAGGTGCAAGAGGGGTGTCATTCTGTGTGTTGTGGCTTCCTTCCCTCCCCATGTTGGAGAGGGATGCATGGTCAAAAGAGAGTGTACGAATGGTGGAAACCAGCTTAACAAAGCTGAAGAGAGTGAGAATAAGTGTCGTTCCCACAGACGGCGCCAAATGTTGATGCACAAAATCAGCGAGGACTTTGGTACAACAGAAAATGTTAAGTTTGTGACCTTCGCTAGATTGCTCCGGTCGTTAGTGTGGATAAGTATGTAAATGGATAGAGACAGGGAAACAAACACAAGATGTACGTGGTTCACCCAGATTGGCTACGTCCACGGAGTAGAGGAGTTCTGATTAATTGTGAAGGGTTTACACAAGTACATAGGTTCAAGCCCTCCTTTAGTGAATACAAGTGAATGATTTAGTACAAATGACATTAGGAAATATTGTGAGAGAATGATCTCTATTTATAGAAGAGAGTTTCTAGTTTCATTCTGACATTGACACGTGTCGTGTTGTGATTGACTTCTGATGTTGACACGTGTCGCGCTATGATTGGCTTCTGATGTCGACATGTGTCATGCTGTGATTGGCCTCCTGGTTGGAGGGAAACTCTTCTAGGTCATTGACGGTATAACGTTGACCGATGCTCAGTAGTTTCGGGATTGGTCAAGTATAGTACAAACACTAGTCATTGAAAAAGATTACTCATATTTGGGGTCATGTTTGCTCTTAGTTTGCAACTAGAAAGTTTTGCCCACACGTTGCTGCGGGATTAAAAATTGAGTTAAAAATTATGTTAAAATGTATGAAGGTTTGTGTGACAGAAGATTAATGCTATTTGTGTTCACAATGCTAAGTAAATTTTCACATATGAAATATTTTATTGATACAATTTAATCAGAAAATGTTTGCAGCCTTCTTCTTTGCATCAGTGGTTTTGCTCCTTTCAAAATTTAAAAATAAAATCAACCAACCATTACTATTATGCTTCTTACTGTAATCAAGTTTCATGATTCTAAATAAAACCAGAGGAACATATAAACACAAAAAGAATACAGTAAAAATATATAGTTTAAGAGTATACTGCATCTTTGAATACTAAAAGTAAGAATATAGAGAGGAATTTCAGTATAGAAAATTAAAAATACACCTGCTAAGTAAAAGCTACAATCCTAAGATGCATTCAGAACAAATTTGATGTTTTTACATTGTATATCAACGTTTAAAAGCTGTGCAACAAAAAATAAAACAAAATTTCACAAATTATTGAAATAAAATTCAGCAACCAATTCCCTAAGGTATCGTTTGGTACGTGGGACGGGACGGAACGGAGTGGAACGGGGCGTTCCATCCCATGTTTGGAGCGCCTAAAACCGAAAGAGTGAGAATAGTGTACCACGTCGATGTTCGAGCCATTATATAGAGCTTCAGTCACTGATTGTGCCTACTCGGCTAAAACATCTTGAAGAGAAAAGTACACATTTTCCTGAGAAGTGAATTTGACATCCGAAATTGGAATTTCAAAACCCATCACAGAAGCAGCATATGAAAACAAAGAAGAAATCTAGTGAAAGTTATTTTTTGATCATTAGTATTATAACAACCAAAGCAATTTCCAACTTCAACATTGAAAATGAAAACCTACAAAGTTTATATCAATTACATCATAGTGATGCTTACATTTTGTACCACTACTAATGAATCTTAATACATACTCCATTTCAAGGTCCTCATTAACACTTGATCTCTTTTATGCCCAGCTGTTGAGAAAAAAATAAACGCAAAACTTGTAACACTATTTGAACAAAAAGAGACTTCTTAATCAAAGAAAGCTTCAATTTCATGTAATTATTTTGTTAAAAATGCAATATTGGAACTTGCATTTGGTTCAAAGAAGTAAGATAAATTGATAAAGCAAAGGGAAACTAAAAGCATAGTCTTGACCGATCCATTCAGGTTTAAAAAGACAAAACAAAGAACATTTTTAAGCATCCAAATAGTCATTAAACAAACAATAGACAATCTCATAATAAGATCACATTTAAAAGATAAGTAATAAGTAAAAAAAAAAATAGTGGTTTTACCTATACTCCATGTGAGAAAAAAAGAGTGGTCCAATTAATTCAAGTTCAAGGGATCAAATCTGCAACCAAAAACACAACAGCAAAGATCATTCTCAAAGAGTATAACACACTCAAATATACAAAACCCTCATAAACCTTCCATTTGCCTGTCCAAATTTGACACCACACTTGCAAACGTACGACCAACAAACTACTGATTGATAATGTAACAAATTATATAAGGTGTTGTAAAATCGACTGTGGGTGCAGTGGAATAAATGAAACAAGACACAAAATTTACGAGGTTCCTCTACAGTCAGTGTGACTGGAGTACGTCCTCGGGGCAGCAGTGGTGCTTTCATTATAATTTGAAATAATAGGAGTACAAAGATAACTCTCTCTATTCTCTTCTCTCATCTTCCTCTATTCTCTCTCTTCCTCTTCCTTCTCTCTCTTCCTCTTCCTTCCTTCCTCTCTTTCTTTCCCGTGAACTCCCCTCACTTCATTCCTCTTCTTCCTTTATATAAACAAAAGAAAGCACTATTCACTTTACAAATTTTCCACAAATGAATAGTGAAAATACTGTGCATAAATAGTAACAAACTATTCATGTGGACCATCCACACACTATTTACAACACTCCCCCTTGGATGGCCACAAGTCTTCGATTGACTCGTTAAAACCTTGATCTGTCTTGGATGCTCCCCCTGATGAGTATCTCCCCCTGATTTCAAATCATTTAGGTTGATCTTTGATCGTTCTGATTTAGTCTCTTAGTAAGAAGAGTTGCTGAAAGAGTTGCTTTACTTGTTGTTAACTTTCCACAGGCTTTTTCTTGAACTGGGTTGTAGGACTTTCTGCTAGACTAGCATCCAAAGGTCTGAATTTACTCCTTTTATCTGGAGCGGAATTTGATTCAAGAGTAGTGAACACTTGATATTGAATCGGACTTGTGATTTCTTCAAGGACCTTCGAGCCTTGATCTTGAATGAAATTGGACCATGAGGAGCTTCATGTGGCAAGTGATCTTCAGTTTTGTCAGGGATGAATCAGCACGCGTTTGTTGCGCTTGTCTCCACATGCTTCAATGTATCATTTTCACTTTCCTTACTTGCTCCCCTTGCTTAAGTAGTATTTTCCCTGCTTTTCCCCCATGCATGTGTGGCATCTTCTCCGGCAGTATTTGCCCTCTGATGCCGGAGTGGAGTGCAACCCTTGCATTTGGATGGTTCATCACTTCTTGGTGACTGGAGACCCAGCTCCAACCGTTGAAGATGACTACTCGAGAGCAACACTAGGTAAGTAATCAGGAAAGGTTCCAGGCAGTCGGTTCCTTACGGGGAGTTTGAGTGGAGGTTCCGACATATTGCTTTCTTTATCCTTGTTTTCGCAGGCAAGAACAAGGACAAAGGAAAAGACAGGGAGATTGCATGATATGAGATAATCTTGCTCTGGTCCCTGAAGATATGTGATAATCTTGCTCTGGTGTGACATGTTTGAAGAGGTATTCTCGGAGAGGAAGAAAACTGAGTATTTCGAGATGCTATGTTGAAGATGCATTCTCGGAGATGAGGAAGAGTTAGGTATTCTTGCAGTGTTGCGGGTCTGCCTTGTTATGGAGAACAGAGGTCGACATATATAGAGATTTCTCAATAGCAAGTGGTGGTGCTGTGCTTTTACTCTTGTCAGCAACTGTGGTGTAAATAGAACAGTAAGATTTACGCGTTTTCAACTTTGTCAGAGATCTTTGACAAAGTTGCACGCGATATCTGAAAAAGCTAGGATTACGTCTGAAAAATGCCAACAAACTTTATTCAGGAAAATCTGGCTTTTGAAATTCGGAGAGCGGTGCCTCTTCGATCTTTGAACGAGTGGCTCTGCTGCCTCTTCTTTTATAGAGACATCAATTGTGTTCAAGAGTATGCTCAGAAAGTTGCTGCCTGTAGAAATTTCCTCTATCTTGCACTTCTGAAATTTTATTTGACCTCTGTTTTTCCTTCACCATTTCTGAAAAATGACTTGCCCATCTAACATTTGCTTAGATTTGAGTCTTAGGAGTGATACAGACGAGCAGCGTCATGATAATATATGGCGCCCTTCCTTCTTATCTTCTAATGGTCCTCTTACGGTTGGTGACTCTGTGATGAAGAATAACATAACCGCTACTGTGGTAGCTAGGAATCTTCTCACTCCAAGGGATAACAAGATCCTTTCAGAACGGTCTGAAGAGTCGGCCGTTCAAGACTCCTTGGCTCTCAGTGTTCAGTGTGCTGGCTCTGTGTCCAATATGGGCCAACGCCTACTTGCTCAAACTCGCCAAGTTGAATCATTAATGGCGGAGGTGGCAAGTCTTAAACAAGAGATCAGAGGGCTCAAGCACGAGAATAGGGTGTTACACGTGCTTGCAAATAATTACTCTACGAGCATGAAAAGAAAGCTCGTCCAACTGCAGGAATCCGAAAGTCGGATTCAAAGTGATCACCAGAGGTTCGTTGCTAGATTCCGAAAGCAACTGATGCCTTCCCCTTCTGGTGTTTTGCTAAGTACTGGGGTGCCACATGATCAATCTCCAGTGCCTCCCCCTTCTGGGGTACTTCCGAGTACTGAGGCTTCACATGAGCAACCTTTGTGAAGGCTCCATCCTGTTTTTGTTTGTTTTAACTCATGTGTATGTATATATCTGTAATTTCTTGGAGATATTAATAAATAAGCTTTATTTCATTCAATGTATTGTGCCAAATACAATAAAGCATATACTTCACTAAGATGTGGTACTTCTGGACCAAGTATTAATTTATCTTTACCCTCACGAAGATAAATGATTATTCTTAGTGTCTTCATCATATGAGTATTTAACTCATAATCTTCAATCCATATGGTTCTTTTAATATCATAAATATCATGGATAAGATTCGTTGGTAGATTGTTCAATCTACAGCTCGAGACAATAATTCCTTCAACACTTTATAATTTTTCTAGACTCTTCAGGAGTCCCAATTTAATATCATCAACTCTTCAAGAGTTCTAATTTAATGTCATTGACTCTTGCAAGAGATTTTAGTATGTTGCAACAATATCATAATGATAGTACTCACTAAGGCAATTTATATCATCCATTGGTATTGAGTACATATTTTATGTTTTACCCTTCAGAGGCTTACTTCAAGCAATTTTGAATCCTTCAAGGGTTTTCTACACTTCATGACACATTTTCCTTTGGAATTTATACAGAGCAATTTGCTCCCATGTATACTTGAGGGATTTACTTATGGAGATATAATGTGGGCGACTCACAACCCTTCGTATATAATTCTCCATTTATATGAACTCGTTTACAACCTTGTGTCATATCATGTGAGTGTATTTCACTGTATTACAAATGCCCAATGTAACCTTCTTGGTTCAACATCTTTTGGCTATTTGTATTACATTCAAATATATAGGTCCATTTTCCCACGTTCTTACAAAATTGTAATGGAATTGCCTTTCTCCATCTTTGTTTTTCGTTGAAAAGAACGAGACTCAATATCAACACAGCTCATTGATGATTTTTAGTAGCTACTTGTAAAAACCAAAATTACCATTGGTTATCATCAATCCGTGATCCCATATTCTCATGTGCATGCGCATGCATAAAAGCCTTTTATTTCTTTGGATATCCATTGCCTCTTCAAGGGCATGACGCTATCTCTTCCAGGATAGTCATAATTTAGAGAATGTGGATCATAACCTCCTCTTGAGCGTTATAGAGTTTGGATTTTAATCTCCACTTCCGGGAGTTGAGTCATTGGAACCTATATGTCTATTATGCTCTATGTATAAGACATCAACATTCCCATGTCTGTGGATTGTCCTATCTGGGACGTGTATCCATGCGGCGACTGTCATGCTTCTGGCATGCAACAGTTATGCTTCGGGAATGCAATAGTTCAGTAGTGCCATATTATTCTTCTTTTGAATAACTGAACCTTTTGAGTCTAAAAATCTGCCACGCTTCAGGCGTTCAACAGATAAATCATTTACTGTCTCATTATTTTATCCAACAGAGACATCAATTCTTGTAGACACATTTGCAGTAAGTATATATGATTTCATCACTTTCGTTGCATCATTCAATTATTCATATTTCATTTTCTCATTGATTGCTTCGTGAATCAAAATAAAATAAATTCTCTTCGTTCTTCTGGAACGATCCTTTCTCGTCATTCTTCTGGAATGATATTTTCTCATTGTTCTTTTGGAACGATATTTTCTCCCCCTAACAGCGGAAAAATTGTCTTATCAAAATGACAGTCCGCAAACCAAGCGGTAAATATATCCCCAGTCAAGGGTTCCAAATATTGAATGATAGATGGTGTTCAACATCAATGCCTAATCTACGATGATGCCTCATTTCAGTACGTTGTGGCAGTCTTACAGGCACATAGACAACACAACAAAAAACTCGTGAAAGTATAATGCTTGGCTGGTTCCCAAACACGAGTTGTACTGAGAAGTATTGATGGTTAGTAACATGTCTCAATCGAATTAACAATGCATCATGTAAAGTTTACATGTTCCCATGTAGAAAATTGGCAATTTCATTTTCATGAGCAGAGCGTTGGTAATTGATTTCACCCACTTAATAAATGCTTCTGCTAAACCATTTTAAGTATGGACATGAGGAACTTCTGTTCCTTGTTTAATAGTCTGTGAACTGAGACTCTTATGTCCTTTATTATAGTTAAGTTGAGGCACTGCGGCACTTTAAACTTACGGTACTCATCAAGGAATTTCATGTCCTGATCTTCAGGATCAAAGGACTTCATGCCTGATTTTTTTGTATGATGGAACTTCGGGTCCAATCATTTTATATGATGAGGATCAAGAAACTGCAGGTTCTGATCTGATCAAGGAACTTTGGGTCTTATATATACTCATTGTAACAAAAGATAAGTACAATAAATAAATTAAAGCAATAGGCGGTAATTCCAGCCATAATGAATAAATTGCATTTAAATAAATAAAGCTTGTGACAAGGGCTTTAATCCAGCACCATTAAAACTTAAAGCAATAGGCGGTAAAACCGTCCATGGTAAATA